GAAAATTCATGTAGTCACAGCAAACTAACCAAATTAATTTTATTATAATTTTAAAATATGAACAGAATGACTACATAATATTCTCAACTTACAGAAGGAAAACTTAAATGTAGCATGAAACTACTATGCAAACCTCTTTCAAAATTTGAACTCCCTATAGACATAAATTCACAAAATTAAAAAAGCTTTAAAAAAGATTAAGCCATTGATAAACCCACCGACTCCTGCAATTCAGATATATCTCAATAAAAAAAGAACTACAATTCCTTCTGGAAGAAAGCATGTTTTCCAAGTAAGACAAGGCACACATGTTGAATTGGGAAAGTGATATCCCCACTTGGCTGGGGATTGCCAGTTTGCTGGCATTAAGCTAAGGGCAAGATGGTTCCAGCTGGCTGCGGCGGCAGCGCCCTGCACCCGGCCGAGGTTATCTGCAGCGCGCTCCTCAGCAGCGTGGGCGCCGCACGGGTGTGCCCGCGGCCCTCCCCACACCCCAGCAGGGCACGGCGCCTGGGCATGGCCGGGCACTGCCAACCGCCCCAGCACTGGAGTCCTGCACACAGAATTCCCCCCTTGGCCGGCCAGTGCCCTCGCTCTTCTCTCATCTTTATCTTGCTTTTTTCCTTCTTTTTTTTTCCTGGCTCAGCACCCCCCCTCAAATCCTCAAGAGACAGGACACAGTCTAGCAACTCAGGGACTCACATAGGCCAGGCTTCCTTCTGCACAGCCCTTTGGGTAGAACTGCTAATCCTTCTTATTAATTAACGAGATAATAGCGGTTAACCGGAAAGCAATATTAATGTTAACTATCTAGGAAACTTCCAACAGAAATTATTGATTTTTTTTGCCAATTTCCTAGTAACAAAGTCACACAGCTGGAGCTGTGGTAGCATCTTGATGGTGTAAGAAGCTAGAAAACGAAGAGTGCCTGAACACTTTGGAACTAAGGACATCTGCATCTGTTTTCTTCCCCACTCCTTAGATAGTTTAAAAGATTCTCTCCTCCTCTGACTCCAGAGTTTATTAACAGCTGAGAACATGGGCTCCCCCAGTTATATCACCCTTACATAAGGACAAAGGAGTGTGTAAACAGTAACATCACTGATCAGAGAAATGTACTCTGAGAGACACATGCACTATAAACACTTAAAAATCTTAACATTTGCATGTAGCACTGCTTCAGTTCTTTAAACTCCCAAACTCCCAAGGTGTACTATGCTTCATTCAGTATATGCTGAATTATCTAACATCAAGTTTGCGTTTTATTCATGTTGCAAAAAAAAAAAGTAGTGGAGATGATGAGGGAATTCAGAATTCTGCAGACAAGGCACATTACTATAGATATTTTATGTTTTAGAAAAAAAATAAGGCAATTTTTAGCTTTTTTTTTAATGAGTCACTGTAAGAGTAAGTAAAACATCCATCTGAAGGAGAGATTTATATTATCTTGGTTCTGTTGCAGCAAACAAGTACTGCAGCTTTCATTCACTGATTGTCAAAAACTTTCCAATGTGCCCACTGCAATGCGGATGCCAACCAACGAATCAAAGGCATTCAGCAACTAGACAAAGAGGGTCTGATGCCAACCTCGGTGCCACTGGCAACCATTATTGGCATCAAGCACATTGTCTGCCTTTTTTTTCCCCTCTCCTGGCACTCGACAAACAAAATGGCGGTTCTTGTAGCAACGGGAACACAGCATAAGCGCTGCTCTGAATTAAATGCCATCAAATGATTTTATGGACTGAAATGCATTTCATACCAAATGATAAACACCCTCTGATGCTGACAGAAAAAAAAAAAAAAAAAAAAAAAAAANCTGATGCTGACAAAAAAAAAAAAAAAAAAGGACAATTCTATCAATATAAGCAAAGGTCACACCATTTTCAAGTTTGGGTTTTATAAACGATCTGTGTGGGACACACACACACCCCTGATATACACAACAAGCAGATTCCCATAGAAGCGTGTTGTGTAATTAATAATTATGTTAATGTTAAACCTTGATCACAGTGTATACATCACATTTTCTTCCTCCTTTTCAGTCAAAGGAGCAGCATTGCAACCTATGTCAATCCTCTTTTTTCTTTTGGATTTTATTTAGAAGGATAGCAGAAAGTTAATAGGGGAAAAAAAGATGCTGAATTTTGAGATGAGCGAAAAGTAGCATCTGATGAAGTTCATCAATGATAGAACTTCCTGAATCAGTCCTTATTTCTTCTTTCAAGGCAGACATGGAAGTAGAAGCTCTTTTTGTTAAGAACAGAAAACATTATTGACACTTCTAGATCTGGAAATTGTCAATATATTGTAACATTACTCTGCACTGCAATGCGGATGCCAACCAACAAATCACAGACATCCTAGGCTAAACAAAGAAGGTCTGATGCCAATCCTGGTGCCACTGGCAACCATCACTGGCACTCGAACTATCCTTTCTCCTCTTTTTTCCCCCTAATCTTCTATTTTAAAGCAACAAAAAAAGCAAACTACTTGGCCCCTTTTTTCATTCTATGTGCTAATTCCTTCTTCATATTTTGTTCAGGGATTTAATTGTTTCAGTGTTTCCACTTAGTTTTTACATGGCGCTATTAGGCATTTATATGTTTTGAAAGATAAATAAAAAGCAAAACGCCATATGTATAATGCAACATTTTTGGTTGACTTCATGCATATCTTTCTCAGAGCTTGGCACTCTTAATCAAGTACACTACAAAGTGCCACAATGAACCTGCTTTGAATGAGTATAGAGAATCAAAGTTTGATAAAATGGAAAAAAATTACATAGACAACTTCATATGACTTCTTCAAGAAGAGAGACAATAGATGTTAATAGAAGATTTACAGTAAAGCAGCAAAATAGGAAAGATATACAGACAGCAATAAACAGAAGGGTCTTCTAAGAGTGACTTGGTATATAGAAATTAGCCAGCTTCATTTTCAGTATATTCTCAAAGAAGTATTGTGTAACTTTGAAAGTTATAATATTACAACACGTTTAACTTCCTCATTTCTAATTAGACAAAAGTGTTATAAATAAACTTACATTCTCAATACATTAAAATCAACAAAATCAACTATGCCCTGCAATTCTTTCTCCCACTTCAAGTTACTGCATTTCAATAACTTATAGTTCAACAGTGTATTAAGAGCACTCTGACCCCAGTTTCTTTGGCTCAAGAGATACTTAAAGTGTTTTGCCTCCCTTTGTAGTTTAGACTTTTAGACTCAGTGAATCCATAGAATTAATCAGTAAATTATGAGTTATGCTATATGCATTCAAAATATAATTTGAATATTTTTTCAACAAAAGGAGTTTAAAGGTAAAAATATTTGTAATTAAGCTATTTTGTTTAATGTTATCAAAGAAATCTTTCTTCCTCTGTTATTTGGGATTAGATTTAACAGACTCCGCAGCTACTTAAATTCACTGTAAAATACGCAAACATGTCTACTGCTGTGGAGAGATAAAAAACTCAAGAAAATACTAATGGGGGGGAAGCCAATATTTTTTCATAACAAATAATGAACAGAAAAAAACATGATATATACATTCACAAAAACAGCTCTTTACTTGCATGAGTAAATGCTAAAAGAGAATTACTTAAAACAAAAATATTTCATTGTGTAGCTCTCCTCTTAAAAAATGAGTATACATCAAATGAAGACATGGAATTTTACTTTTTTGTTACTAACAAAATCAATTCAATTTGTTGTCCAGTTAAATCCCATAGTTATTCACCAAGCATCAGATAACAGCCTGCCATCTGCCCTTCTGCAGGCCATTTCTACCTACAACCAGGCCAAGTTGTGAAATGGCCCACCATCTGCAGATGGTCTAACTTTCCCTAGTTGAGATATGTGGCTAAAAAAGAAATGCATTATTACTGCTGATCAGCCAGCATTGCAAAGACACTTAGAAGACGTTATCATTATCAGAAAGAACCAAAATGACCCTAACAGAGAAAAAGTATTTCAGAAGACTTGCTATCAGAGAGGAGGGGAAAAAAAAAAAAAAAAAAAAAACACCACCACAAACCAGCACTTTTATCTACTTATAGCCATTTACAATTTTAGGGAACCTATGGGCATTGTTATTGAATATCCAATACATGAAATATGGCTAGTAGGTTTTTCTCCTGACACATGATTATCAGTAGCCCTGTTTTTATTTGCATTCTGTAATACTAAGTTTAAGAAGATTTTCTATAGAGCTCCTGCAATTTTCCACATTTCAATTACCTGCCAAATAAAAGTATATGAGTGTGATTATGAAAATATACTCTTCATAACAATTTCACAAAATATTATGACCTGGATCTTTGATTTAAAGCTCAAATAGATAAGATGACCTACTGATGTAATATATGAATAAAACATTCATTACATATTTTATGCTGCAATTCTGATACTATTTGGCATTTACATGAAATATAGCCATGATAAAGTATTTCA